CATCCAAGACGGCCCAAGAGGCCTCCAAGAGGTCCTCCAGGAGGGCCCGAAGAGGCCAACATCATTGATGTTCCTTAGGTTGTTGAAGGATTTTGGAATTTGCTTCTTCTCGGCATTCCGACGGCTCAAGACGGCCCAAGAGGCTTCGCGTTGGTTGGGGTGGTCTGGTAGGTAGTCAAAACGCCACCATCGACCGAGAATCGGTCGATGTTGAACGATCTGACGTTTCGATATCGGCTGGTCGTCCAAGGTTGACTGACCCACGCGGTGCCCGGAGCCACGGGGGCCGTGCACGAGCACGGCAGCATCGTTGTCGCTCGTTCCCTGCATGCGGCGCCAAAAGAGGACGCAGAGGACAGGCGAACACTCAATGCCGCAACAATTCGGAAGTTCGCGCGGGTTACTCGGATCGGCGCGGGGGCCCCCTGGCGGCGCCGCGAGCGCCGCCCCTAGCGCGCTCCGCGCGCCAGGGAGGCGGGTTCAGCGCCAGGGAGGCCGATCCCGCACGGCGCGCTGTGCAGTTTGGGGCTGCTGCGGTAACACGCCACGTGCAAAAGATCCCGACCGTATGCGTAGCACCCTGCAGCTACGGATACGAGTGACGTGGCGGGCACGGGTTGGGTCGCAGGTCGGTCTCGAATGGGTCGCGGGTTGGGTCGCGTGGGGGTCGCAGGGGGGCGCGGGAGGGGCGCGGGCGAGGACGACGACGACGACGATGACGACAACAACAACAACAGCAATAACAAACACAACCATTTTACGACTATTCGTTCCTATCTGCCCGCGTGCCAGTGGATTCGTATATCCGAAGCCCTCGGTACCCGCCCTCTTCGTCTTCGATCGTACACCATTGGGGGTATTGGTTCCTTACCTGCTACGTGAATTTAGTGCAGGCCCTAAACCCTAAACCAGGGGAAGAGAGGACGGATGGAGGAGGGATGGAGAAGGATTGAGCCGGCGAGGAATCAGCAGGAGGGGGGGCCAGGAGCAGAAAACACGCGGCAGAACCAGACGGGCAGACCCTAGCGGGCGGGTCGGGAAGGTGGGCCCAGGCGGCCAGGTCGAGCAGGCGGGTTTCTGAAGCGTGGGTCCCGCATGAATCACGAGGCAGCCTCGACCACAAGCGCGATTCCCAAGTAAATCGTGAGAAAGGCCAAAGCGAGAGCGTGATCCCTGACTGTCGAGAGCGCGACGTTTGAGTAAATTGGGAGGAAGTCCCACGCGAGCGCGCGATTCTAGCAAGCATTCTGAAGAAATCCCACGCTAGAGCGCGATGTCGGATTAAATAGTGAGGAAGTATCAGATGTTGTAGTTCGGCGGCCAGGGTGCCAGTTTGAGCTTCAAGGCTTTTCTTCGTAAAAAACAAAATGCGAGCCCAAGGAGGGGCGCTGCAATTGGAAAGTGCAATGTGCGCCGGGGGCGGGGGATCACCAATAATTCAGTTTCAGAAGCGGGAGTTCAACAACAACCCAGCCAGCCATCATTCAACCAACGAACCAACTAAACGTCCACAACGATTTCAAGAATCATCCGCACTGCAGATCCTCACCCCCGCCATGTGCCCACGGACAGAGTATGGACCCCTGCGCCGACCAAAAAGGCTGCCGCGCAGAGCGAGAGCACATGCCCATACCGCTGCCCTCCCCTCGTCGCCACGGCTAGGTTCGCCGCGAGATCATGGTCAAAGCGCGTCTCCGGAGAGGCCTGGGGAGTACGAGTCGGGTTCGGATCTTTTCGATACCGTAGCCATGGGCGTTTCGGGTTGTAATGTCGCCGTCTTCCGGGGGGGGCCTGCCTGCCCGCCCCTGCCCGCTTGCCTGCCTGCCTCGTCCCGCCGGCCCTGGCCTCCCGGCGTTCGTCTTCGTTTGCTCGTCCCTCCTTTCCTCCCTCTCTCTGCGTTCCGTCCGAGCCACCGGCCCAGGGCCAGCTTCTGATTCCTGGCAGCGTCTGGACGGCCCCCCTGGACCCAGAAGCGGCATCCAGGTGCCACATTTGGGGCGGTTCTTTCTTCTTTCCCAGGTAATTCAATACCTTCCCTTCGGGGGGGCAGCTTTTCTGTCCACCCTGGGCCATCAAGCTCTGACCCGCCGCAAATGGCCCTTCCTGGGGAGTCGGTCGGGAGCTCTGGAGACCCAGGTCGTGAAAAAGTCATGATGTCGGAGCTTTGGGCTCGTAGTCGCTGTCGCTCCCCACCTACAGGGCTCTTCGTGTTGAAGTCTGCTTACTGCAGTCACCTGAATCCTGCCTGGTTTACTTCCGTAGCAATGGGAGCCATTGGGTCCGATAGTTCTTTGCCGTGTGTTGCTCCTCCTCCTGCTCCTCCTCTTCTTGCTCCTCTTGCTCTTTGTTTCTGTTGGCCTCCGCGTCTTCCTCGGTCTTCTCTCGTCATCCTTGCCTCCTCTCTCCGTCTCCTCTGTCTCCTCCTCGTCCTGATCCCGCCCTTGGGCTAAGATTAGGGGGGGAGTATGACTCCGAACGGGGAGGCTGGACAGGTAGGCCTCCTCGTCCTCCTTCCTCATCATCCTACCCTTCGCTGATCATTGGGTCGTTCGGTACAGAAACCCGTTTCCCGACATTCTTCTCATCCTGTCCCTCCTCCTCCTCCTCCTCGTCACTCTCCTCCTCCTTTTTCCTCGTCGCCATGGTCGTGATCGTCGTCGTGGTCGTCAACGCCCTGATGCCGCCACATGGGCGGCTGCGCGCCGAGCCGCCTCGTGAGGAGAGCCCCGCCCGGTGGTGTTCACCGCCATCGACGTGGACTCCGTCAACTGCCCGATGAACGCCTACTTCCTGGTGAAGGCCTCTGGCCAGGCGTCTCGGGAAATAGGTCTTGACGTTGGGCGGTCTTTGGCGTTTCTTCGGCCGTCTTGGGGCCGTCCTGGGCCGCGTCGGAACCCTCCTGGGGGCCTTTTGGGGCCAGGGCCATCCCGGACGAAATTTCGGCGCAGGTGAGCTCGAGGCGCTTCGGAAAAAGCCCCTGTGTCCGTGGCCCTTTTCCTTCAGGACCCGGGTCTGCCACGCCAGTACTCAACTTCGTCCTCCGAGATGTTCCCGCCCACCCCGTCAAAATGGGGGACCGTTGTGGCCGCTGGGCAAACAGGGACCGGCCCGGCCCCGCCCGCAGCCGAACAGGAACGCCAGAAAAGCACAGTGGATGCAGAGGCGGAGGACGGGGGATGAGGAGAAGGAGGAGGCAGGCAGGGGAAAGTCGATGCGCGAAGCTTTCAGATCAAGCAGGAAGGTCGGTCGCGAGGCTGCAGGCAGCGTGAAGCACGCAACCCCACTATTGGGCGCCAGGTCTTCCCTCCTCCTCCTCCGCTTTTTCCCGCCTCGACCTCCTCATCATTATCCACATCCTCCACGCGTGGTGGCTCAATAGGCGGCCCCGGGATGCAGCATGTTGAAAGCGCTGATACACCATGTTCTTCTCGTTGCGTTCTGATGGAGTTTGTCATTGGCACACCGAGTCGTCTGGTGTTGATTAAATGTCATGCTGATGCCTTGCATAATCGACCAGCCCTTGTGATCGTTCTTACTGAGTGCACCTACGGCAGCAGCAGTGTGGTGACCACGGGCTGGAGTTCTGCACGTGGCATACGCCGTCCTTTCACACCGCGTTGCGCATTCAAAGTCTCGTTTCTCTCCATCGTGGAGCTCCGTCTCCTCACCTCCCTTCTGCACGGGCCTGGGACCAAGGGTATCTGAGCTCTACGTAAGTTCAGTCGATAGTATGGATCAGACACGCTGGAGCCTCTTTCGAATACACCGAACCTTCTGAACCTAACGCAGGGAGGCACTGCCATTCGCGGAGAGAGACTCCTGCCGATTGACGTAGCTTACCGAACAATGCCCCCTGCCCCGAGCGTTTCGAGAGTTTCCCGCCTGAGCCGCCCCCATCGCGCTACCGCCCTGTCGCCAATTTTGGCGTCGCGCCGCGAGACGCCACCAGTCGCGAAGCGAGAACCCCGCCGATGCGACGCCGCTGCGTCACCGCGCTGCGTCACCGAACCTGGACGTGGCGCGCTGCTTCGATCGCGGTGCCGCTGCGCCCTGACGCGGCCCTTCCCGCGCCCGCGTGCCCAGACACGCGGCGCACCACCACCAGTCGTGGAGGAGAGCTCCCAGCTCGCTCTCCCTGATCTCGCGCGCAAGATGGCCGCTCTCGCCATGGGGCGCTCCCCCCGAGAAGGGGGCTGCGGGGGGTGGGGGAGGGGGGGCTGGAGCTGAGAGGAAGCCCCCCCCCCCCTGAGCGGAGGCGGACCATCTGTTTTTTTTGGGGGGGGGAGCGGGCAGCGCGGTAGAGCACGAGGCTGGCATCGCACGCCCCACGATGCTGGTCTGGCATGGCTGGGATGCATGCGCGCGCACTCCGCCGTTGGGGGCAGGGCCCCCCATCCTCCCACCCCCCCGCTGTCTCCTCCCTTCCTTCCCTCCTCCCCTCCTCCTCCCGTCCTTGTCGTTCGTCGCGTCGCCGTCGTCCTCCGTCGTCGCTGAGCTTGTTCGTCTGTCGTCCTGGCCGTCTCCGTTCGTCTATGCCGTCGAGTCGGTGGCTGCGGTTTTTCGCTCTGCCTGGACCTCGCGCCCGTCGGTTTCGCGCGCGAGGCCAACCTGGAGTCTTAGAATCCTAGAATCCTGTCCTCCTCTTCCCCCTCTCCCCCTCCCCCCTCGTCCCACTCTGCCGGCGAGACGCTGGCCTGGCTCCTGGTGCTGATGCATTGGATCTGGAGGCACCCGCACGCCCGACGCGCCCCCTTCCCGCCACAGGGTGCAACAGGAAGCCTCGTCGTCGATGCCGTGGTCGTTGACGTGGTCGTTGTCGTCGTCGTCGTCGTCGCGGCCGTCGCCGCCATGTAAAATGATGATGAGGATGTGTGGGCAGGAGGGAATAGAGGAATGAGCTACTCCTCCGGCTCCTTCACACTCCCTCTAGTTCGTCCATGCTCGCCTCTCTATCCTCCCCCCTGGCTGGCCCACCCCTCCTCGCTCCTCCCCGATCGTTCCTCCGTCCTCCATCCTCCTCCTGCTTGCCTTATACCTGTCCTTCCCCATCTTATGCTCATTCCCCTCTCCTGCCTCCTCCCCTCGCAGTCACCACTTGCCTCCTCAGTGTTGCCCTCTTGCTCCGTCATGCGCTTTCTCCTTCCCCGCCCTCGCTCGGTGTCCCGCCAGTTCCCTGCCACCCTGCAGTCGGACCGGGGTGGAAGGTCGAGCTCGGATCGAGGAGGGCCCCCCCAGCGTTGTTCGTGTCTGTTGGATGTTCTTGCGCATCCTGGGGAGGGTACTCCAGATTTCGTAATAAAGGGAGGGGGGTCTCATTTCGGGGGGGGTCTCTTCCAGGCTATCTTGGAGGGCCTGCGGGGTCTGGGGACGATGTTTTGGAGGGTTCTCCCACTGGGGAGGTCTGAAATGGCTTGTCTTGGAGGGTCCAGACCCCCTCCCTTTTAACGAAATCTGGAGTACCCTTGGATGTTCTGTGTGGTTTGGCCGACGGAGGGTCTCAGGTTCTTCAGGCCTTGATCCGACTGAAGTCGTGCATCTGGCTCCTCAGCGCGTTGGGCGCAGAGCGAGTCACACTGCCGGCTCACTGGACAAGGAGGAAAAGCCACCCGGACCCGACAATCGACGTTTGACTGGACGGTCCTGGGCGCGTTTACTAAACGGCTTCGCTTGGTGATCGTTTTTTATTCATTGTTTTGCCGATCGGTGCGGGCCCCCCTCCCCCCCCTCCCCCCTCCCGGAGTAGATCTTGGCTGTTTTTGACGCCTGTTTCGAGCAGCTGGGGACCCTCACTCATAGGACCCACGGTCCCAGACAGTCGCACTTAGCAGAGGTCCGGAGCCAGACCCCCCCCTTCCGCCCAATGCCGAAACGCCGAAAGGAAAAACGTTCACTTGTTACGGGGGCGGATGTTCCGCTTCTCTTTGTGGTGAAGCAATCAGCCGGTTGCGCGCGAGAGCAGGCGGAGAGGGCCGATATCGGCCCCCGGCGGCCAATCGATGCCGTGTCGGTCCCCGCCTGTCCGTCGGGCTCCTGCCTCGTGAGCCGGCCGGCCGCTGCCAGGCACTATCCACCGCATCACCTTGGCACCGCCCGGACGTGTGCATCCTGTCTCGGCGGGAAGCATCAGGGAGCATCGCGGATCATTCGGCAAATAACGCCACCGAGGAGCCCTCGTGAGTCGGCCAGCCATAGCCAGTCACCATCCTAAGCATCTCCTTGGCACCGCCCGGACGTGTGCATTTTTTCTCGGCGGGAGCCATCGTGGAGCGTCCTGGATCATTTGCCAAATTGCGCGACCGAGGAACCCCACATACTTTTAACGTGTCTGGAGGGATGATGGCTGAAGTGAAACATGCGAGAGTGATGCTGGTGGCCATTGGCCCGCCGATACCGCTGGTGACGCCGATACCGCAGAAGGGTCCAGTAAGTACCTCACCAAGCAGTGCCTCCTTACATCGTCAGCGCCTCGTTTACGCAGAAGTTTTTCTTATTTGGCGAATAGCGTCTCAGTCCACCAGTTCACCAGCTGTCGGTGGTACGCACGAAGTGCGCATTGCACCAACACCTTTCATTGCCTGGCGACATATCCGCGCAAACCATCCAGGTTAACTTCGGCGCCCATCTCTAGCATTGATGCCATGAGCTGCTCGCACGGCGGTGGCAGTGCGGACATGGCGCATTTGGGCGCCATGACGGAGACCACACCCTTGACGCAGACTCACCGGCGGTCGCCCGCGTTCACATATCCAGCGGTTTGAGCCAGCATGAACCACGGTGGCTACAGTTCAGGAGGGAAAGAAACACACAGACACAATTAATCGTCGATTCCCCAGAAAGTATGGGAAGTGGGTTGGAAGACAGAAACCAAGAAAATATGGGAAAATATGGGGAATAGTTTTATTTGTGTGTATTTATTTGTGTGTCCTGGGGCCCCTTCATCAGTGCTTGATGCTGAAAGCGCCCCCACCGCCCCACCGCTTGCGTGCCCTTGTGGCTTCGAGAAAGTGCCACGCGCGGTAGGCCCTGGGACACGGCACGCCCTGCGCACCCCCCTGCGGTGTCAGGAAGGTGCCACGCCTGATATGCCCTGCGCGACCGGCGTGCATAGCGGCCGCGCTCAAAGACCACCGCGCGCTCCCTAATGGAGGAGGATGATTCAAAAATGACCGGGGGTCGCGTTCACGCGGCGGCGCCCGGGATGATGATTAGAAAAAACCGGCCCCGGGTTGGGAAAGTGTTTTTTGATCGTCCCCCCCCGCCGTCCTTGGGCGCGCGCCCCCCCCGGTGACGAAACACCGCACAGGCGAGCCCTGCTTCTGAGCGTTCCCCCCCGGTGTGGGAAACTATTTTTGTAATCGTTCCCCTTTCCTTTTTTTCTTAATCGTCATCCCACATTATGGTGTCGAGAGAGTGCCACGCCTGATATGCTGTGCGCGACCCGCGTGCATAGCGGCCGCGCTCCAAGACCACCCTTTGCACATGTCCTATGGTGTCGAGAAAGTGCCACTCCTGATATGCCCTGCACGACAGGCGTGCATAGCGGCCGCGCTCCAAGACCACCCCCTGCGCACCCCCATGGTGTCGAGAAAGTGCCACACCTGCTATGCCTTGCGCGAGAAAGTGCCACACCTGCTATGCCCTGCGCGACCGGCGTGCATAGCGGCCGCGCTCCAAGACCACCCTTTGCACATTTCCTCTGGTGTCGAGAAAGTGCCACATCTGATATGCCGTGCACGACTGGCACGCATAGCGGCCGCGCTCAAAAACCATCCCCTGCGCACCCCCTTTGGTGCCGAGAAAGTGCCACGCTTGTTATGCCCTGAACGACCGGCGTGCGTAGCGGCCGCGCTCAGAAACCACCCCTTGCGCACCCCTTTTGGTGCCGAGAAAATGGTACGCTTGCTATGCCTTGAACGACTGGCGTGCGCAGCGGCCGCGCTCAGAGACCACCCCCTGCGCATCCACTGTGGTGTCGACACAGTGCCGCGCCTGCTGTGCATGGACGACTGGGTCTGGACGTGGTGCATACGTGTTGGGTGTGTGATGTAGTGAGCACGCCACGTGTTCCTTGGCGTTGTTAGTTTGTGCGTGTGCGCGTGTGTGTCAGCATGCGTGTCCTGTTTCTTGTGTGTTTTTTGGTGTATTTGTATGGTGCGTGTGCGGCTGTAGGTGGACGCGTGTCTCAATGTGGGTGTGCGTGAGCGTGCGCGTGTGTGCATGCGTGTGTTGTGTCTTGTGTGCATTGTGCATGTGTATGATGTGTGTGGCTGTAGGTGGACGCGTGTCTCAATGTGGGTGCATGTTGCATGATACAATCAACACGCCAGGCGCGCACTGGCGTTGTATTGTGTTTCTGCGAGTGTGCGCCTGCGTGCGGCTGTATGTAGACGCGTGTATCATGCACGCGCCGCGCATGTGTTGCGCGTGGGTGGGGGGGAGGAAGGAAGAGGAGGAAGAGAGGAGAGGAAGGATGTCAGCAAGACACGGGTGCGGCGCGGCAGGGAAGAAAACCTGAACCCCACTAAGCATGTGGGGAACAAAACACAAGCAGGGAACCGATGGCAAGTCTCCCCATGGCATTTCTGGCATGCTTTCTCAGGCTGCTTTGAGGATCCCGGATGGTTTGATTGCTTGCGTCCGCGTCACCAGCTCCCACTTGTAATTTTGCTCTGCTTCTGGAGATGGCCCCCCTTCTGATCTTATTTGGCTCATCTCACCCCCATCCTTTTCCGATCCCCCCACTCTCCCTTTTTCGATCTTGTTTGTCCTATGTATTCCCATCCTTTTCCCATTCCCCTCCCTCTCTTCCCGCGCCTCCTCCTTCTGCATCCCTTTCTCATTCGCTTTTCCTCCCCACCTTTGTCATCTTCCTTTCCACCCCTACCATTCCCCGTCTTTCTAAACATCCTCCCCATCCCCTCGTGGCGCCACCCCAAGCTGGTCGGAGGTACGGTCGACGTTCGGATTTGGGCCGAGGCATGTGAATCCATCTTCCTGGTCGTTTTCAACATCGGAATCCACTTCACACCTTCCGTACGTTACGCGGTTCAAGGACATCGGCATAGATCATATCGAAAAAGGGGCGGAAGGTTAGGATGAAGCCTGGCCTGTTTTTCTGCAGGAGGAATAGTCAAACATAGCCACCCACACACAACAAATAGTATGGGGACGAATTGTGTAATAGTTCTGACTATGTTTGGGTATTGTACATGTCGTCGTCCAGAATCCGCCAGTAGGGGGACATGCCCGACCATGCGCGAGGTCGGGAATCGGCGGCGAGCGAGGGGGGGAAATGAGAAGGAGCAGGCCCTCTCAGAAGGCGGCGGGAATTCTCAGAAGCCCTCGCGCCTTCCGAGAAGTTGTTCGTTCTGTCCTCGAGGAAGGCTTAGAAGACTTCTCCGATGGCCTGGGGACTTCCGAGCCTTTCTGAGGAGGCCCGCCCCTTCCCACTTCCCCCACTCACCCGCCGCCTATGGCAGAGTGAGGGGGGGGCCAAGTTCGGTGTCTCCCGGCCTCGCGGCCCCGCAGGCTGCCTCGCGGGTGGGGTCGCGCGCCCAGGGATGTCCCGGCCGCGACACCACGGGTGCGCGGACGTGCTCGTCGCTAGTGCGCTGCGTGCGGGGCGATGCTGTCGACGACGCCTCCTCCTCCTCCTCCTCCTCCTCCTCCTCCTCCTCCTCCTCATCCTCCTCATCCTCGGTCGGCGCTGCGAGGGGGCTCGCTAGCC